AGTCCTGGCTGCAGCTCAGCGGAGGTGGCAGAGACAGATACATGCTGTGTCCACATCGGCGGCGTCTTTTTCCAGTCCTTGCCATGGATTCAGCTCGGCAGAGCAGGTGTCTGGTGGGGATTGCTGCTGTCTGCAGCCAGAAACACCAGGGTGGGAGAAAATCAGGATGATGGGATGCTCAAAGACTTTGGTGATGAAGCCAGAGATGATCATTGCTCAAGAAAAATAGAGTCTGAGGCAGCCTTCATAACTGTTTGTTGAGACGACCTTTCCCTGGGATGCCAGCAGGCAGGGTGACCAGGAACCTAAAGATTTGGCCGACATCACTTAGTTAACGCAAGAGTGCAAGAGAAGACTCTTGCATATTTGCTTTCCAGAAGAACAGCCATCGAATTTACTTCACGGAAAGACAGAAAACTCAGCTGCTGGTACAGCCGCATGGGTTTGGCAGCGTTCCCTTGGCTGGACGCTTGCAGATTTGCCACATTGACATCTCCTCCCGTTTAAGACCTACCTGTTTTTCATCTCGCACCAGCGTGCACAGTCGTGGTGCCGACTTCTCACTCGGCGAGGCTGCGGGGGCGTGAGCTCCCTGCCAGCTCCGCTGCCTGCTACGGCAGAGCCGTAACCTTGGCAGCACCAGGGATTAATGATCCTTATGAAGGGACACAGTGCAGAAACTGAAGAGCTGAAACCCAATCTTTAATTTAGCCAGCGCAGCTAACAGACAGATGCAGGTAACACAGACACCAGTACGTATTTCCCTGGAAGTCCAATATCATCCATCCAGCATATAGTTGTCATTCAGTATCATGGATTTTTTAAAATACTATTATTATTTTCCAAATTTAACCTCTACCGGCAGTTCCACTCTTGTTATTCTGCCCCCCAATGACTGCTGCAAGATCCCAATCCCCTTTTTTGCCAGGCAACAACCAAAAGCCTCATGAAGTGGCCAAATTATCACCTCCTCCTGCCCCTCATTCACAACCTGGCAATTAGTTGCCACGCTGTGGGCAGCGGTCACCTCTTTCCCACATGGGTAGCTGCTGGGAGGTAAATTCTGATGAGTCATTTAATGGTTGATCCTACGCTGGGCACCTAAAACTTCTCTCATTATCTCCTCCTGATCTTTAGTTCAAAGAATAGAGAAAAAGTACCAAAATAAAATTGTTCTCTATTTCATCCCATTACCTTGCCTCTAACCAAACAAAATAGCAGCTGAAGAGGATTTTCTGGTAGAAGAGTGAAAACATTTACTACCTATAAAGTCAGCGTCCTCTGAATTGATAAAAGCAGGGTGCTTTTATCCGGCACCGCTCAAGAGGCATTAACTTCTGCCCTAAGGAACTTCACGTCCTCCACCAGCTAAAACACGGGAACTCCTCCCCTCAAGGCTGCTCCAGGAAAGCACAAACACCACCGAAAGCTCTTCTCGGGAAGCAGGGGGTTTGTGGAGAGAAACTCTTAACCGGGGTACACGATACGCTTGTCCTGCACAGGCTGGGGCTCACGCTTGTGCATAACGGAGATGGTCGAGTGCCATGAGTATTTTTCCCCCCACAAAGTTGGGCTCTTCATTCAAAGTTAGTATCATGGCTGAAGGGCAAAAATTACTACCTTGTAGAGAAAAAGTTTGGCATCACTAATTACGATAGTTCTGGAAATTCTATCAATTTTCATCGATACAATGATCCATCTTCCTTTTATATTTTGCTCAGTTTTTCTCCTCGAATTACTTCTGGTGGAAGTGAGTCCCACTGATTTCACGAAAAACGTTTCCATCGGATTTGAATTTGTCACCTCTGCTTTAGAGACAAATGTTAAAGCTGGGCCGATAAAGGTACAAGACAAAAATAGAAGTTCTCCACCCATTTTCTCTCTGTTAGTCATAACCGTAGCTATTTTAACCTCTCATTCTCTTCAATCTTTCTATAAGATCTCTGCTGTCCATTATTTTTGTTATCATTTTCAAAACCCTAAGGAACTTGCAATACAAAGTGTTTGCCTGTGACGCCCAGAACTGGGCGATCCAGGTAATTTTACCCGATCCAGGTAATTTTAAAACTCAGAATTGTGCGAGCACTTTGCTTTCTCTAACGATGCCATCCTTCACATTCAAAACTGAACTTCATTTGTCACCGTCATCCATTCCATGAGCTTGATAAGGTACCATTACATTGTCCTTATTTTTTGTGAGCTTGACTTTAATAACCTTCACCATTTTCTATTTCACTGGTCATTCCTTTTCCAGATTAATTTAAAAAGAACACCCAACAAACATATCAATTTAAAAAAAAAGTAGAAGTCAATCATAACTATTGGAAAAACACAGAGCATAAAGAGAGTTTTGTTACTTTACAGTCTAGTATAATAAATTGGTAAGCAAATTAGGCATTACATTGTAAACCTCTTCACAGGTACGTACACGTGGCACAGAAGGAGAAGCACGCCACTACCTTATGAGGATTGTTAACAACTTCTTATCATGAACCATACATTACTGTCAGCCTCTTAACAACAAATGCCTCTCAGCGTGCTCTGAAAAGCAGCTTGGTACTAACAAGTTATGGCCAAGACAGACTATCTGGGAATAACCCAAGTACTTCAGAAGAAATAAAGGGCGTCGGGAACTCTCCTTGAAGAATCTTAACAGGTCTTGGCATTTCAGCACTGAATTCCCATCGGTTTCGATGCTGTTAATGGTCTAAACACCAATTTACACAGGACATATAACCCCAAATCTGCTTAAGCTAACCCATTTAATTAGCATAGTTAGTGAGAGACTTTTGGATGGAGAAGTATATCCATCTTCCTATTTGCTTCTTGAAGTAAGACTTGCATAAAGAATCTTATCAGAGCACACCCAGAACCACAAAATACACAAGCTGTACTTCCCCAAAGGGCAGCAGCAGAAACTCCCGACTTTCGGCCAGCCCAGAAACGGCCGCTTGCCTTCTAACCCGTGAGGGGGGCAGGAAGCTTTGTCAGAGCGCCGCGTGTTTCTCTTCCACATCAAATCACTGCTCCTCCTGTTGTAAACGCAGTGTGCTAAGGAAAGGTCTTCGAAACTGCAGAGATTAGCACTGGATTTAATATCGATGCAGCACCTCCGCAAAGCCTTTAACATTACAGCGGCTATACTTTCTTCCTCCAGCAGCTGAGCGAATCCCTAAGTCTGTTTCAACAGTCATATTTTTGTTATCGTTTAAGAAAACAGATACTACAGAGTACTTTCAGTGCTACGAGATTATTATTATTCCTCACATGTGTGAATATTAATTTATGATTGATAACACACACACAACGGTACGGGAGACAGATGTGGTCCCTTCGTGGTATTTCAGAATATGAAGGGCTCCAATTCATCCTCTCCTGCCCTTTCTTCATAACATCCATTAACTCATCCATAGGGAGAATACCATTTCTATCTGACAGTGCAAATCAAATGTCAAACTCTTCAACGTATTATCAGACCATCCAACAGCCTGACCCTGCAAAGACTTAGCTTTAATCTTTACAGGCTGCAAGTATCCTCTTGACTCCAATCAATGTAGAAGAGAAGCATACGCGTGAACTTTAGCAAGGCTGAGGAACGTGGGATTAAGAGCTACTGCTTTTGTTTTGGCAAATATACAATCCACAAAACAAAGCATCCAAGGAAAAAAGCACAAATCTTTTAGCAATTCTCCCCCGCAGTTTTCCACCCGCCTCACACCACAACAGAAATGCTCTGCCGTGGGCAGAACTCTTGACAATTTGCAGGAAAATTAAGGCAACGGTTCTACCTGCTTTCCACAGGAGTTATTTTGGCAAGCTCACGCTTTAAATGCCAAGCAGCATTTAAGGATTTGCCTGGACATGCACATATATGCATCTTGCTCCTCTCAACAAAAGGCAACTCCACATACTTTGCTATTCAAGGTCGCCAAGTATTTTAACTAGAAGCTACTGGATTTTCATGTATTTATACTGTATTAAGTACCTAGCTGCTTTTTCAAACCAAGATTACATTTTAAACACTCGTTTTTCAAACTCAATGCATCTGAAAGACTTGTTGAACTAACAAAACACCTCCTGCCTCAGCCCGTTTCTTTTTCTTGTGTTGCCATAGCCATTTCCCATCTGAGCCTGTGTTAGTATTTTGGAAAAGGGAAGTTTCATTTATAGTTAAAGACGATAACATGCTCCTAGTAGCTTTCTCAAGCTGATGTTTATCAAACTTTTTTTTTTTTTTTTTTAAAAAAAAGGCGGTTTGTGTCCCTATAATTACTTATTTAGCAACTGCACAGCACAGTACAAGGAAATCCCCCTGCCAAGGTTCATTTAGGCAAGGAGCACATAATAATGCCATCATCCGAGTTCCCTAAGAGGTATTTGTGTGCTCTTCGCTATAAGTGAAGACTACAAAAACTTACAGTACGAGCACGTAACGTCTGTGAGGGGTGTGACACGGCTGTACATTTGCAGCTGCAACCGTCCATGCTCGCATTCTTCTCCAACAGAAAAAAACCTCTAGGCCGCTTCTTTCGATGTGAAAGGAAAACAAAACCAAAGTGGTAAATCCCATTAGCAGTTTTCAGCAGGTTTTGTCCCCCTCCTCCTTTTTTTGTTTCTAGATAAATAAAATGGGAGTCCTCACTTAAGTTTCCAGACTGAGAAATATTATTAAAAGTAGTTACAGACTCAATTACAACCCTTAAAACACCACCAAAATGCACTACAATATTGTTTTATTTAGTTTACAGAAGAGTCTATCAGTACAGGTTGCAGAAAGAAAATGTTTAGTGCTATTTACAATTTGTTTTAAAACTCTGCTCTATACAAATTTAATTCTGATCAGTATGAACAATATTTTTGTAAATCTACTGCATATAAAGCATTTCATCAAAGCAGTAACAATGAATAAAATAACCTGATTACATTTGAATGATGCCGATCATTCGAAAAAAACGATTACACAGAACATCTGTAAGAGTTGTGGACACTTAAGTACAGAACACAATGTCAACCTGTGACTCATTTTTTTAAAGGCTAAAGCTATTTATATGGAATATTGTTCTATTATACTACACGCCAATCTATATTTAACTTCTATAGTTATGTATTTTATAAGATTTTTATTAAATATATTCTACACATATTTGTAATTTCACCCAGGAAGAATTCCTCCCCAGTGAAAAAAATATAAAATCTTTTATTTTTTTTAATTTTTTTTTTTTACAGGTTTAGATGAAACTAGCTCATGCTTTAGTGCTGTGCAAATTTTTTTAGCATATCAACGTTTAAATTATTGATATGAAATATAAGAATGGCATCCTTTTTAATTATGTATGCCTTCAAAAATCAGCTCCTGATTTTAATACAATTGCAAGCACTAATACCAAATGCAGATTACGTAAAGAAACAAAACTAGTACTATGGCAGAGGTTTTTCTTTTTGCTTTTTAAACTTCAGTAATTCTTTTGAAGTCTCTAATGAGTAAGCATGACACTGGACACTAAGGTGCAGATGAGAAAATGACTGAAAAACACCAATTGCCAATATTCAAATACATAAAATTGATTAGTAAATGATGTTTTCTAACATTTATGCACAATAATAAAAGCCTATGAACTACAGGAAATTACCCCTCCCATATTAAGGCTAGGAAATGCACTCTCTGCACTTGTTTGTGCTGTCTGAATAAGCACTCAACTAACGTACGAGATCAGAGTGCACGCAGTAATGAAAAAATCAGTTTCATCAGCCCTCTACAGAGTGCTTTTAAATTACAGGCACATAGTTTATTTTGTTTGTTTGTTGCAGTGAAAATATATATAGTTAGACTTGGTTTAGTTAGTATTCTGTGCCAGTTCGGCCACCAAGGTTGACTTAGGTAGAATTGACTTAACAGTTTTTCCTTCGATTTGGCCATAGGTGAGATTTGTTTTAATTATAGATATACTATTTTCCAGTGTTGCATTATACATTGCAGGTTATTACTAGGTGTCTCAAATATTGTTAGAGATTGTTGATGAGAAATATACTGTCAACCATATTTAGTGCAAATTGCATCTAGAAAGCTTGACTGGTTAGATCCGGTTAATGGAGTTTTTTGTGGTGGCAAAATGATTCCTGCTATGGAAAAGAACACATTAACTTTTTGGGAGATTGAATCCTTTCAAGAACTGATGTACTGTAAGATTATTCAAACAACAAAAAGCAGGAATTTAAAAAAAAGAAAAAATTGAAAGTGTTCATAGATGATTCTCTTTAAAAAAAAAAAAAGAGACTAACGAGACAGTGTTCGTGTAATATTTCAGTTCCATGGATTTACAGACAGGCTCTTCCTACAGGTGTTTGAAGCAAGGTAGGGCCTCTTCTATTCCAGCAGCATGAAAGACAAAGACTATATTACATCACACTTAGCAGGTAAAGCTTAACAGGGTTTACAGGATTACACAGCAATTGCTTTCTCCAGTTTTTTCACGGTTCCTTTGACCTGTGGAGCAAGAAGAAAGTTTTGCTTACATGCCATTTCTAAAGCAATTAGGTTGTTCTGTGTGTCAGTATGCTTGACGCAAGTACGGTTTTTATTATTTTCAGTAAAAAAAACCCCAAACATTTATTATTATACACATGCATGCATAACTGAAAAATAAATCAGGAGCAGTTTTTAAACAATGAAAATGAAAGCTTTGAAGGTTTGGGTAAATTTCTGCATTCTACAAAAATGCTAAACCAGAAAGTTAATTTCTCAGTTTTCTATAAACAACATGCATGAAAGCATCCGTTACTTGCTTCACAGAAGACCACAAGGACTTGACTTTTCTCCACTATGAAATACTCAAGAAGCCTGTAAGAGATCTGACCGCTTTGCCACGTACTTGAGTAAGAAATACCTCTAGGGCACAGCGTACCTTGAGAGTTTGGCTCTGGCAATGTCTCTCTAGCCACCAAATGCATCACCGTTGTTTTGCCAAAAGGAAGTTTTAATGCTGCAAAAGGAGAAAGGGAGATTTATTAATACATTACAGCAGTCTTGTTTCTCCAAAACACTCAATTGAAACTAACTATAATTGGATTAGGATCTGTTCAAAAGTTCATACCGTCAGGTTTGAACTGCTTACTAAATAGACTTATAAAGGTATTTCTGGGTAATTTTGGTAGATCAGGGTCTTGGGACCTGATAATAATCACGTAAAACTTTATGTTCTTAGAGACATGATATTCCTGCTAGGAAACCTGGCTTTCCTCTTGAGTAAAACTAGAAGTGGGCATCCATGCTAAGACTCAGGTGCTAAGCACTCTTTCTTGATAAGGATGCAAAAAAGTGGCTAATTCACTAAATTGATACTCTTGAGACATCAAAACACTGAGCCACTACTGCAAAACAGATTTTTCCCAAAACATACTTTGATCCATGATACAGGTTTTCCGAAATACAAAATGTCTGCATCTGGCCTTTTTAATATTAATCTGTAACATTGGTTGCATGTGAAAAATATCCAATTGAAAACATTTTAAATCAGGTAAGGTAGTTCTCACGATGCTGCCTTTGTGAGCTCTAGTAATGCAAAATAACAAAATTGGAGCTTTCCACAAATCGTTCTGCTTGTTTCTAAAATGATAATTTTCAGATTCTGATTTAAGTATGCCAACACAGTGCTGTATTTACAGTTTTAGCACTGTAGTATATTTATCAAAACCTCTAGTCTCCTTGAAATGAAAGGATTCTCTGTTGCTCATTGCATTTAACAGATCTCATTGCCAGATTCAATATTCTGAACTTTGACTTCTTCCAATTAGTGGGGGCGGGGGTGTTATTTTTGCAAGTTCTTTACATAACTTTAGTTTTGTTTCCTCTCTCCAACTCCTAAGATCAAGCATCTTCCTCGATTATTTTTCTGAGAAACACAAAGTAAAGATGGCCTAAGTTTTGTCCTCCTCCCCTTAAAGAGGGAAAAAAGTGATAAATGTAACAAGAATTTAACCTTAAATACACAAATCATTCTGACTTGTGTAGAATTTGTCCTCTCAAATTCAATGTACATCTTCCATTTTCACATACAGTGCACCAAGGCATTTTAAAGTGAAGAAATGAATAATGAATGTCTGATAAACCTGAAGGTAACTGAAGACAAAAATGCCTCTCTCTATTTTAATCACTACAGCAGAGATTCAAAATTCAGTAATAAAAAATAAATAAACAAACCTAGTATGTGATTACTACATGTATTCAATACAAGCCTGGCTATAACATTGCCATCATATTCACCGCCTGTGTATTTGTTTGGAAAAATGCAAGTGATGATTAACACACAGGTGTGAGCACATGAAGGGATACACAACTCCACAAGCTTCTCTGAAGTAGCTGTACCTTGTGAAAAGCCATCTCTATAGAAAGTTGGATCTGAAAGTTGCTCGGTTTACTGGAAGCACTGCCTATGCCTGCAACTAGTAGCTATGGATAACTTAAAGCCTGACAAGGCCGAAGTATTTTGGGTACTTGATTCTACAACTGAAAACTCTGCAAAGAGCGTATTAACAGTCTGTTAAACTCAATGGAAAAGGATTGTCTTCATGACAAACTCTTAAGAAGCCATTACAGAAAGAGCAAAATATTACAAACTAATGACATTAGGGACATCTTTCATAATATCGAGACACTTGAGGGGACTTGATTAGTGAGCTGTGGAGATTAATCATTTACAGTAATCAAGGAGAAGTATGCTAATATTTCAATTAACTAATTTCAGCGAGCAGTTTGCATAGTTCATACACGTTCTTATTAGCAGTTTCCAGCTTCTTGCTCGGAGTGCCATGACAGAATCTGAGCACCCTAATCTATACTCAGTAATCCTTTCTTGCTCTTGGTCTTCATCTTCTCACCTCTTTCTCTCACTTAAACTAAACTTTCATTTAATTCCCTTCCCATCTGTTTAATTCCACGTTTATTCCAGATTTTCTGTTGTCAGTATTTTCACCCTCTCTTTTGGTGGGTTGGTTTCCCTTCCCCAATAAAAACAGTAAAACGTTGCTGATTAACATTATCCAGCAAGAAATGGAGAACTGTCAATTCTGTATTACCTCCCTAATTAATATTATTTCAAATGCAAACTGCAGACCAAATATTTAGCTAAAGGATGAAATTTCCTGTTGGAAGCTGAACAATAGACTCTGCCTTGCCAGCTAACTCCCCAACCCTTCAGGCAGGCAGGACACAACAGAACAGTGTGGCTCAAGCACCGGAGGCAAGAGGGGCACGGCAAGCTTTACGGAGGGGTCTCTTTTTCTTTACCCACTTCCAACGCCATTAGCTCTACTGTTCTGGTAGTGACAGTCCATTCAGGGAAGCTGGCAAAAGAGATGGTTTCTTTAAAATAAAATTTTTCACTCAAAAGCCAGTTTTTTCTATCAATTTGTCATTTTTTGAGGCTTCTCGGTTTATAGGAGTCTCAAATTTGTAAGACACTATGTAGACATGTGAGGTTACAAGAAGAATATTACAATGTAATTTTTAAATGTGAATAAAAATGGACTCCTGTTAAAAAAAGAAAACACCAAACTGTCTCCTTGGAAACTTTTCTTTCACTAGTTGATAAAGTGACTTTCAGTACACAGTACGTCCAAATTCCAGTCAATATTTCCCAATTACCTAAAGCAAATAAAACACTAAGTGCTACAACTCAGTTGTAGAGAGCTGCAGATAGAAAAGCTTAATGGAACTGTATTATAAGAGCATAAGAAACTAAATATTGTATTTAGCAAGAAATTCCCCCCACCCTCCCTTTAAAGATAACTAGTTCACTTAGGGTTACATCTAATGAAGACCACAAACTGAAGCAACAGTCTTTTCAGGCTGCTTCATGAATTGCTGTTCCGCTTTCAGCTGTATAATCTTACTCCAGATAACTTCATTAGTACTGAAGTAAGCCAATGTTTTAGGGACTTTTTTTTTTTTTCTTAAAACAATACGGCAACAACAAGATCTTTGAAAAACACTAATATACATGTAAGATCCTTAGGGTAAAATCACGATGATTAAATTGCAACGCATGAACGATTAAGAATGAACTAAAATGCCCTGAATCCAAGTAAGTGTTCAAAATCCATAGATTTGAGTTAATGCAAGAGACAACAGAATGTAGCTAACATTTTTCAGCTTAACTTGTTGAACAATGTATTAAATGTATTAAAGAAATATTCAAAGTTGTTTCGGATTTAGACAGATGTCACTACAGGGAACAAGCACTGGCAAGAAAATCCCATGTAGCTATCCTTGCCTGGAAAATGTAGGGTAAGGCTAGCATCTCTATAATTGCACAGATGATCCCAGACTTAACGTTTGTCTTTCAGCCCTACTCCAACTGCTACTAGCTGCACTCATTGGCACCTGGTAAACAGACAAATTAAAGAGTGAATGAAAATTTCAGAGTTCTCCCAGCTGAATTGACAATGATCTTGTTTGTATATATAGCAGCATTAAAAATTGATTTATATGGAGAGTAAATCTATTCTAAAAGTACATCACCAGCCAACGTTGGTAATGGTAGAAAGCGAATCAATGGCTCTATCATCCCAGTCACTTCTTCATGGAAAGACCACCATAACCAGTCCAGAAATATTCTTTTCAGGCTCATCTTAACTTCAAAAACACTTCATTAGTGATTTTGTTTTATAATCTCCTCTCTGTATTGCACTCGAGTACCAAATGCATGAACAGTCTGAACATACAGAGAAAGGAGGAGTATTAATTTATTTTCAAACTGCCACAGAGGACAGCCATTTTGTTTAGTTGTTGGTATAGTTGATATTCACACTGGCAACTTTTATCTACAAAAGGAAAGACTATTGTTACAAATTTGTGTCTTATCTCTATCAAAGATACCCATCAAAATATAGAATTGTGAAAGAAAACGTGCCACAAGGGGGCACAGCTGAATTGCATTTCCTTCGCACATGAAGTGAAGCCATTTACTTTTGTTTTCACATAACTATGCAATTGTATCCCTGGGAGAGCACTGGACAGCAAGAATGCTCCCCCTCATTCTCATTCATAGGGTGTCTTCCTTCACTGCACTAAGATTCAAAGTATTGTTTAACCAATTATCATAATCTTTACCAGATATTTTAAAACACTGAAGACATTTATGACGAAGCTTACCCTGCAAGTGCGGTGTAAGACTGGTGGAACAAAGTATTCCATTCAGAAAGACAACAAATAAAAGCAAATTCTTTATGCAAGAGGAGACTTGACTTACCAGGTGGTACCTCCCAAAGTTTAACAACTAGTGGTAACAAGACGGAAAAAATACACAAGAAGATACAATGTCACTCTATGCAGAAGAAAAACAGTATATAGCGAGCGATACTGTGATCTTGGAACAGTAAAGTAGTATTTACTGCACTGTAAATAAATATTCCCTTTGCCTGGCTGTAACACGGATGAAAATTATTTTCATACCTCCTAGTGTCACATTGCCATGAAGAAACCTCCCTTGATAAATAAGCCGCAAGATATTTGGACTGCTGACTTGTTCTTCTTCCCAGTCTGAAAAGAAGCGAGAGAATTTTCACAGTTACGTTGTAATAAAAACATCTTTTGTTATTTCTCTCACCTTTACCCAAGAAGGAAACTAAGAACAGGACTCTTTCGTGTGAAACACTGAAGAGAGAGCATAGGCTGAAGATACAGAAAGAGAATTCAAGGCTAGCACTCCTGAAATCGACTCTCACATTTATTATTTGACGTTGGGCATTGAAACACATAATTTTATGCCTGCAAGTACAAATATTACTAACTTACTTCACAGATTGCATATCTAGCACATACACAAGACCTACACAAAATATTTCATGAATGCAAGTTGCTTCCTGAGGCTTAATATCCATTTGGCTAAAATTGCCTTAGTTCCTTCCCATTTAGAAGATTCTCAAGCCATACTCCTCCTCACCAGCTAACTGTCTAACTGGAGCCGTTCTCCAGCAATGGGAAGCAGCCGCACGCAGAGCAAAAGCGCATGTGATGGGTCATTTGAAAGAGGATTCTCCGATGACAAGCACCGCAAAGGCTCCGCAGGCTGCTGCGGGGTGTTCGATGATGGCCAGCTCCAACCAGTTACATGGCCAGAGGGGACCGTGACCTGAGCAGCCCCGGACGGTCACTGCCGACAGCCTGAACAGAGGGCTCCGGCAGAGCAGACGCTGACCCACACGTTTGAAGGAACTTCTCAAAGGACAATCTGTGGATGTTTTTATGTGGCAAATAGGGATTCAGGAAAAAGCAAGCATGCATTTTCCTATAATGCATTTCCTATAATGCTTAAGCCGTCATAAATAATTTATAAGCTTAAGTGATCTTCTCCTACTCTTTTACTGTTCCCTGTCACAATGTGAACAACAAATAAAGATGCACTTTGCTTTCAGAACAGATATCCTAAAACCTTGAAATGTTGAATTTAAATGGGCTCTCTGGGAATACAGTGTCTTCTGTTTCTTAGCTGACCAGATATCTGGCAACAGCTGGTCACAAACGTTCTCTCTCTCTGCTTTTGTAGTGTTCATATACCAAAATGAATATTCAGCAAGGGATCACCGCGAGCAACAGAAACCAACCTGTTCACTGGGAACATACAATTAACATTGGGGCAGTAGCAACCGGCACCACAAAAGGAGCAGAACTGAGAAGGGGAAGCATTTAAAACAAAAGCCACGGCTGCGGAGAGCGTACGGAGAGGCATCTGGTGCCAAAAAGCCGGCAGCAGGAGCCATCGCAGCCCCAGAACACGGCGGAGGCAGGGCTGGTATCAGCGGCAGAGGCTGCAATATCTCCGGGTGCTGCCATGTGCCTCGTTTATAAGATTAGATCAAATTAGGCAACCAAAGCTATTTGAATTTCAAGTATTTCCACTCAGGGTCTGATTCAATTGTCTTGCAATTCAAGCACATGCCCTTTTTGCTATGCTGTGAGGTAAGCTACGTTAAATTATCACTAGGGTGCTAGGGTAAATAATTTGTTGGAAGATACCCCTTTTTTATTTATTATTTTTTACTCCATACAGTCTGAACTCCACTATACTAAGGCTGCAAAGAGAACTTCAGCCAGTTTACAGTGCCGTAATGATGTAAGACAGCAACCAAAAGCAGACAGACTATATTTTGGCACAGGTATTTGCTCATTGTTAAGCTGCCAATTTACCCATCCTTTTAATTTTTGCTTCTTGGCCAGCAGTCTGAAACATTTCTTTCTGACATGATTTCAGATTTTAATTTCCACTGATGACTAAATGAGCCAAGGAGAAAATATTTACCTACAACTTTTTTTTTTTTTTTTTTTTTTCAAGTTCAGCAGATAATTGCTCCGCAGGAAAAAAGTTCATATTATTTAGAAGAAAATGGGCAGGGAGGGGATAGAACAGGTAACCTCCCTAGATGACATACATGAATATAAATTTGGCATTTTCCCCTACAAGTCAAGAGATCCTTAATTAACAACTGTATTGTGAAAAGAGGGGAGGAGAGGTTTTCTTTAATCCTGCCAGCATGTGACTGAGGATATTTCATGACTTTTTTCCGCTCTGACAAGATCATGGCAAGTCAAAATGGTGGTAAAAACAATCATTTCACATCATCTCTATTTCAAGGAAACTTGAGTCTTCATCAACATTTCTCAGTCCTGTGGCAAAGAAGAGCGCTCTCAGTCTGAAAACAGCTGGCGGGCTGGTGTTTGTGAAAACCTGTACACTATTCTGAAGTGGATTTTTCCTCGGTCTTCTAAATTGACACTATTCTTCTTTGCACAGGCAATTAAATATTCATCAAGATTTAGAGCACTCCCTCAGGACAGCAGGTATTTGAACTGAGGCTTCCATGTCTGGTTCTACTTTTCTTTTTCTTTAAAAAAGAGACTTTAAAGTCTGGGTTTCTTCCCAGCAATAAACTCAGAATCTGCAACCTTCAAGATCTTCACAAGACTGGGAACGTGAGACCACATGTTCACGAATAAACTTGAGTAAGAAAAAAAAAACCCCACAGTTCTGCCTTTTCTAATTCAGATAAAAGTACACAAAGAACATTTGGTCATGACAACTGTGTTGTAGGCACACATTAAATTATGTACAGTAGCTACACAGATGCTACATCAACCAGATTTCTTAATGTAGAAGTGTTTTACATCTATACCTAATACTTCAGAGGATTAAAAACCTCCTCCTTTGTTATATATTCTACTAAATACATAATAGTGTACTCCAGTAAAACAAACAGCAAAGAAGTCACCTGAAACCCTGCTCTTCCTGACCTCAAAGACCAATTTAAGGCCTAAAATACGGATTATCAACGCTAACTTTTCGGTATGAATTATCATCCACCATACCTCTTTGACAAAGGCACCACAGAAACAGATATGGTAATGTTTTAGTTTGTGTAAATAGTAGTCACTTTAACACCAAAACAGTAACTCAAATGAAGTCCTGTACCAAAAGAACCATTTTCTTTCATCATATGCAACGCTATGTCTGTGTTTTGGCTATTTTCCCATGAAATCATAGTCCGGGAGAACAGAAGCACTTTGTTTTTGTGGAACTATTCACATATGTGAATACGCATCTTAAGTTTTCAATTCTATTTTCCAAAGCTAGTGTTCCTGCATAACACCAAATACATTCATACAAACAACCTCAGTTTCCCTTGATCTTCTAACGTCCCTTAAAATGTTCTTTTATATTTGATTTTTTTCCTGGAAAAATATCATTATTACAGATATTTCCCAAGATAAAGCAGTAAGGAAGAAGTACTTCAGACTCAATTTCACTAATGCGTTCCTGTGATATGCCATGTTTTACATGAGCTGTCCTCACATAAGAGGTTTATATCTCCAACATTTCCTCACTCTTACTAGATCCTCTAACAAGACTCATCAAGAAAAGTGTCTAAAGATAGGGGGAAAGAAGTACTTCAGTTTGGGGAAGCAAATTTTAGAAATAAAGTGGGAAATAGTCCAGACATCTAAAAATCTGCCCAACCAAAGAAGCAGGGAGAAAGGTGGCAAGATGACAACTGTATTTCTGTATAAATCTATGCCCAGATACACAATAAACATACTTACTTTGAACACTAAGAACAGAGATCAGTTTATTGACGCTTTAGCCTGAAAATACAGGGAAGCTTCTAGCTTGCCAGTTAAAAAGTCAAAGCCACACAGCTACTCACCCATCGGCCAGTTGTCGTACACATGTTTTGCGATATCTGCAGCAGAGTCATTCGGTGAAAATAGGAACTCTTTCGTTTTCCCGCTTACCAAGATGAGGCGCAAGTTTATCTGTAAAAAAAAAATAAATGCAGCATGAGAAAAGTATCCAGAGAAGACTTAATTATTTTTTTTTTTAAAGTGACTAAAAAGTTGCCATTGGTTTTAGAAGATTGATCTAAAATGACTTGAGAAAACAGTTTAAGGTGGTGTTAAAAATAAGGTCAAAGAGGTCACTCAAATTTTGTTTGTTTACATATAATCTGGGAAGATTAAATTCTAACAGCTGGCATTTTTGATGACAAACAGAAGAAGATTCTGATAGATAGTGAGTGAATCAACTGTGCCATTAAAAAAAGCTTCCAGCAGAGTATAAAAAAATATTCCAGCCAAGACACACCGGCAACATATCTTATACAATGAAGAGGAAAAACATAAACCTGAAAAATCAACTGAGAGCACCCTAAAAAATATTAAAATCTGCATCCGACTAGCCTGTGAGCCTCAGTCAAAGCCCTAGCACTCTCCCTCCAGCACCATATTTGTCAGCCCTCATCTCACCCACCACATCTCCTACAAAACACCGGGGAGTCAGACAGCATCCTTCCTTGCTCCCAGCTGCCACAGAACTTCAATCCCTCTGCCAGTCTTCTGAACCCAAAATTTTGTTCCACCACTGTCTTTCACTACAAGCAAAGTGGTTGAGATCCACATGCAATGCAGTAATACTACCACATCATGTTTTTTCTATCATCGATTTCCTTTATCTAGCCATCAGCATCTTCAGCTATAATTTTCCTCTCTTTTATTTGCAAGTTACTCAATATAATTCCTTTTCCACACAGCATTAAAATAACCTGTATAAAGAGCTCACCATGACATTACTTGCAATGCAAAAGACACTAAATTTTGGCTCCTCAAGCAACGGCTATGTATTTAGGTAACTAGCACTCACCAATGCCTATGGCAAACAGGAGTCTAGCTGCTTTTGCGTTTTGACCTACAAGCCTCAACTGCATCAACTTTTAGCAAGGCTTTAGCGTACTAACTGCTTGGATACTTTTTTCCAAATCACACTCTCAAACTGTGGCTCCCATTTTAACTTACGTTGCAACAAAGCTTTCCTTGTTGGAATTCAGTAAACTGTTTTCTAGATCAAATACAAAAGGCAAAATTTACAACGATGCCCAAGTTTTCAAGATTTCTTCAGGGTCAAAAAAATCTCCGCACATCATATCTACTGAACATGACAGCCCTGCCTCACTTGCCTACTCACCACTTCTTTCAGAAGCTCTCCAGACAGATTGTCTATTCTCTCTGGAATGCTTTGGCTTGGATTCATCCCACCTATCTTTAAGCACCTAATGGAGGTATCCAAATTATGACCTCTACCTTGCTGCACACTTCAAGGTCAAGGAAGAAAATGACCCCTCCAAAAAGCAATTCTGTCTCTATTTCAAAGTGTAGCAAGGATAAAAGGATTTAGCATGAAAGGGCTAGGTTCCCCTCCCCGTCCCCCTGCTAACACCTTTCAGAAAATACGAGTTCTGCCATTAGCCCAGGAAAGGAGCCAAGCGGTAGCTGTCTCTGAGAAAGCACTCGAAAAGTATCGCTGCATACCAGGAAATTGTGAAAAAACTTGAAGGAGTGAAGCTGCAGGAACACAGCTTAGTCAAAGGCAATTATTCATAAAATTCAGAACACATCTGGCTATAAACATTAAAGTTCCATTTTCTTTGCTATTTCCAGAATGATAAAGGAATTATTTTCAAATCTCACCAAGATTTAGCAGAAAAACCAGACCAAGTTCCACTGTTCCTGTTTACTCCAAAAACCTGCATACTGTAATGAATTACAACTTCCAAATGTTACACATAAATTGAGCAATGGCCAGACTATGTCCACTTGTTCTCTTGCTTATACTCTCTTTCAGTTTAAGTAGTTCCCGCCCCGCTCAGCTGTCTCCACCTGTGTGTGTATAGCCAACACTTACATACATGGTGTCTTTAGCTGGATCACCCAAGACAAGCTCTTCAAGCTTTCTCTAGCGAGATATCCATTTCTGCATTCATCCTAGGAGCCTGTCTTCACACATTTCAATTTCTTCTCTTTTCTCCTCAAAACAGATGACTATTTCTGAAGCATATTAAATGGTGGCTCACCACATGCTTCTATAACGCCACCAGTAATTTCCTCTGTCTACTGGAAACATCTGTGATTGTGTCCCAAGCACACATCTACCTTCTTCATAACTGCCCCACGCCATTTGCTCAGTTACTTTGTACCCTTCTCTACTTTGATCCTTTCAGTTATTCAGCCTCCAAGCTTATAACTGACATTTTGGCTGTAACACCCTAAAGCACAAGGCTCCAAATTTCATCCCACTCCTATTACTCCATCCCTCCCAGGGAAAGGAGGCTAGGTGGAAAGAAGTATTCTGCACCACAAAAATGTTTCAAATCTCCCCCAATGTCTGGGCTCATGGCCTATGAAATCCCCTCAAAGTTTCTGTGTAATACTTCTTTCTATCTCAAGAGCATTTTTCAAACTTTATGTCATCAACAAATTCTAGCAGCAAGATCCCTTTACATGTACCTTTGTCATTAAATGAACCAATCTGACAATTGATCCATAACAATTCCAATAACGAGCTCTCTCTGAGCTGTTTTCCCCCTCCTCTCAGCTACGTCCTTTATGTTAGACCCTTACGCACACTCACCATTTCTCTATTAAATCCTAATTTCTCCTATTTAACCAACAGTTTGCAATACGGCACCACATCAGTTACTATGTACGTATTTAGATGAAACTATAAAAATGTCTGTGTAGAAAATAAGTTCTTTTCATCAAGAGTCAGCTTGCCACACTCCAGCTTTCAGAGGCATGGTGTACTGCACTCTATTCCACTTTCTCTATACCTCAATTATCTTTAATTATCCTTTAAGCATTAATACATCTCATTACAACACCAACATACTGCCAAAAATTTAGGAGGTCTAGACTGCGTCACAAACTGTTATTGTACTCGGGAATGGGCCGTCAGTTTAAAAAACAAACCAACCCACCCCAAATATTCAGCAGCAGTGCCTGCCGTAGGCATTAGTGGTGAGGAGCTTCTTCACCAGCAGTCCTCCGGCCTCTCACTCCAACCTCCCCGCATCCATTCCCTCTACTCTAACTGGCTCCTGAGACCCCCCCCCTTAGCTTGCTCCCTCTGGCCAAGCAGTCCCCCAACTCTGACTTTATGCAGGTTATCTAAGGATTTCTTTTCCTTCATCTCTGTGCAGTTTCTCTGTGGTGGAGATTACCTGTTTTGAAGATCACAACGCTTCCCTAGGCAGTAGGCATAACACCAAACCATCAGCTCCCTAGAACTGTTTGATTTGGATCCTACAAGGAGATGATTAAAAAAAACCCAGAAGATTAGTCCTGCTCACCACTTAAAATATGATTAGGGCACAGCATTAATATAGAACTAAAGTTATTCTTCAGCTAGCATAACATTAAGGAGACATTTCTTTTAATCTCGCTACAGAGCTTTGAGATTACCAGGCACGCTAAAGTGAATACAGAAAGGAGAAGAATATCACAGAGCAATAAGCAAAACCAACTTGCCTGCCTGGAAAATTTGATTAAGTCATACTTCTGCAGTTAATATACAACATAAAATCAACATAAGCAACGGGGGGCAGGGGGTAGAAAAATGTTAGTTCCTTCTTTCCCCCCCGAGCTCCCCAAGATGGATAACTTAATAATGCTGAAGTTTTTTGTTTTTGAAGAGCATTTCTTATAGTCTTACTATGAAATATAAAAGGCACATCAAGATAAACTAATAATTTTACAAACACAAAGTATGTGTAAAATGCTGGAGGAATATTTTCTTTTAAAAAAAACAAAAAAAAAAAAAAAAAGAATAGCACCAAATATCAACAGAAGCCCAAAATAAATCCTTAAATCAGTCAAGCAGATGTTGCATCAAGTGCAAGGAAACAGCTGCTCTAATGAAAGGTTAAAGTATTTTCTTATTTATAGTACAGCATGCCACTGCCGCATTTAGTTTGCATGTTTGTCTATATATATACATGCATATATATGTAAGATATATATATCTTTATATTTCTTAATCTTGACTTGAACGAATCTTAGCCTTGAGTTGCACATCACGCTACCTACCTCACAGGGTTTGAAGTGAAAAATCCCAAAGCTTGCCTTTAAATTTAGACTCTAATCTTATTCCCCTCAAGAGCATTGGGAAATTTAATGGCTTGCAACTGCTGTACTACTTATTCTGCAAGCCTTCAAACAAACTACAGGGGATCTGAAACAAACCTTTCTGGCAAAATGCCACAAATGAAAGTTTGTATCTAAAAGAAAAAAAAAAGCGCATATGTGTATACACATTTACTCAAAGGAAAGCAAAATTTCTCAAATACAGAGAAAAAAAATCTTGGTTAGGGAGAGAAGTTTTGAACAAAAGCAGCACATTTTAATTTTTCAAGTTATGAAAGGATTCTTAGTGGTCTTAGCTACCCTGTACCCTATTTCCCCTGTTCAAAGTTAGCAAGGAAATTGTATCTGTATCCCTTGTATGCTTAAACCCCCTCCACCTATTCTCGTCAAAAGTGTCTTGGTCCTGACACACTTTCGTGATTCTCATGGCCCTGATAAGTTTGCTCTTCCATAAGGGACACAACAATGACCATCCTGATTTTTTTTTTCCGCCTTTTTTTTTTGTCCCCCTTCTCCTTTTTCAGGCAAAGGGAATTCCAGCCTTTTGCTACAGCAAACTGATAAGGATCGTAGATCATATCCTCACACTTCTGCATTATAGCACCAACTGCAACGTTACTGATGAAAGCCACAGTATCAGCAGAGGGATTTTAAAGACGATTTGTGGACTAGATCCCCTCTGCAGTTATATAATGGCCCATTCTGTTTGTCACCTCAAGCATGCAAACCTCACCCTCTCTCCCCCCCAACGCCGCGGCCAACACCAGTCTCATAATTACAGCTCCAGTAACTACCCCATCAGTTGCAACACATACACAGTAAAGAATTTCAGCGTAGATTATATACTGTAAACCAAAAAAACCCATAAATTTATATATAGACAGATAGATAGATATGCAAAGATTGTACTAACAACTGTGGCCACAACTTTTGGAACAGAAATTAGGGTCATGTATATGCAGATGTAAAATAAGTTGTGTTTTGTTTGTTACAGGTACCTGCAACAGAGTTTGTTCATTCGCTACGGCGTAACTACAAGATGTGGTAGTGTCACAGTGCCTCTAATTTCACAGCTGAAGTTAAATAAACGGGAAGTCACTTAAACATCAAGAAATGAGATTTACAACCTACATGATGTTTCCTGATACTTAAGTGACTTCCCACCTGTTCAGCTAAACCAAGTTATTTGTTATCAATTTTATGCTCCAGTAGCAGCTTAAGACGCCTCCCATCTTACAATTAACATGCAGAGGAGGAATAGTGTCATATCGCCACATGCTATACAACCCCAACTTCAAACTAAATGCTTTTCTTCAGCTGTTTAAGATTAAAATACATACACAAGACTATTTTTTTTTCTTTTTCTTAACAGATGTGAAATTGAATTAAAAACTAACGATGGACCAGAAGGGAAAGCAATGAGGTAAAAACATTCAGAAATACAGACTGAAGTTTCGCTTCTCAAAATCCCAATACATTTACTTGCTAGTTCAAGTTCATAATTGTAAGTAGCAAGTTCGTTATTATGAGAAATAAGTTTGTTCTCCAAAGACCCATCGACTCTAGGCCAAAGAGAAACCTCACAGCACGACGCAGTACGCTTTACTGACTGAATTCCACCAGATTCACACGAGAGGTTCAGCCATGAATAACAGCCTAAGTGAAACAGCAGTGTTACACGGGGCAGGTCAGCAGGGACCTGCTGGTTCTAGACTCCAGTTCCCTCCTAAGGTAGATATATCATCTCATGTCATCCTTTCTGGAAATGTATCCACCTGAATATCATGAAAAACTTCAGTCTTTACACTCCCTGCAAGGCTGCTCCAGAACCTGACTGTCCCATCGAGTGGAGGTTCCTTCTAATTCCCAGCATAAGTTTATTCTTGGACACGTGTCATTTGCTGATGCCAGACTTATTTTGCGTTTTAGTTATAATAGGCTTCCCCCCCCCTCCCTCCCACCTTGGGGTTTTGATGGCTTTCTTTTATACCTGCAAACAAGGACACACTTTGCTAAAATAAACAAGCCAAGGTTTTCCTCATCAATAGGCTGGCTCTTGGTGCGGTCACTGTCTTCAAAGCTCTGAAGCACATCAACAGAGGTTCATTAATG